GCCGCCCCCCGCCCTGGCAGCTCCCCGCGCCTCGGGGCTGTGGGAATGCTCGGGGGGTTCCCAGAAGAGCTCTTAGAGAAGGGGGAGGGGGCGAAGGGGATGAGCTTCCCTTCCTCTTCCATTTGCCGTTTGCCGTTAAAATCAACTGTTTTGCCCATTTTCGGGAACTAGGAAATTACTCGGGTTTTGCCGGGTCCCGTAGAAATCGGCGGCAATCGCGGTAAATAAGGACGTAAGTGACCTGACAAAGAGCGCCGGGGATGTTCTCTTTGGTGTGGGAATTGTACACACGAGTAGGCAGCGCAGTCACAGCTCACCGCCGCCACAGCCCGCGTACACCCGTGTGCTGCGAGGCTGCTCGGCTCTTTGAGGCGATGTCCACCACAGCGTTTGCGGCTGCAGTACCAATCTTTGACCCGGAGTGTTTTATCTTCCATTAGTAAGCCTTTCTCTGCGCGGAACTGGTTAAGTTAGGGTCAAATCTGGTTCAATACCTTCTTGGCATGCTCAGAGGGCTGGGTTTAAACAGTGGCTGAGACGGAGATGAGGCTGCCTTCCTGAGAGCTCGTCCCTGCGCGCCGCTGCCGGGGGTCAGGGCACGGGGAGCTCTGTCCTGGCCAGGTCTGGCAGGTCCGGGGGTGCCTGTGCCGGGCAGGTCGTGCACGGCCCCGGCGTGGCAGTGGAGCAGCTCTGGGGGCTGGCAGTCACGCGTTGCCTTTTGTTGATTCTAAAAACACGGCTGGTTGTGGTGGGAAGCTGAGCGTGGCTGTGTGCTGGGGAGGTTGCACGGCACACAGCCTCGGTTCCTGCTCCGCGGAAGGAAATCCCATCGGGATAGTAGGCTGTGGCGTGAAAGGACATGCTTTAAAATAAAAGGACTTAAAGAGAGAAAATAAACCGTCCTGAGACTCGGAGCTTGGCATATTAAACGTGAGGCACAGCATGTAAATGACTGGAGAGAGATTGGAAGGCAGTCCCCGAGAAACTGAGCCTGGCTGTAAAATAAGCAGGTTACCGATAGTCTTGCATATATTTACGAGGTTATAAGAGTAGCTTCCCCCCCTGCCCTGCTCCATCCAGCCCGTGCTGTGGGAGGTTGCTCTCCAGGAGGAAGAGCTTTGGTGAAGAAACATTGTCTAGCAATTACAGCCTTGCAGTCCGGGGGGCTTGATTAGGTTTCTGGATCTGCCAGCGACTCGTTGTGTTCTTGGACCAGCCAGGGTGGCTGTCGGTACCCGGGGTTTCCAGTTTTGTAATACGAGGAGGAGTTTTCTAACTCGCAGCGAAGTTGGGAAGTTGGGAAGCTCAGCGGACACTTGCAGGCACAGTGCTTGAAGATCGTGAATGGAAAGTGGGACAGAAATGTGGAGTGTGAGCCCTGCACATGTGAGTGTCTGCTTCTGCTGGGTAGAAAATATTGGCTGTGAATGTCTGTAGAGCAGCTGTGAATGTTGGACTGTAGATAAGGAGAGAAGCAAGGATTTTGTTTTCCAAACCCTGAGTGGTGCCGGGAGCCCCGCTCCAATGTTTGGGTGTGCCCTGTGAGTGCAGCAGCAGGATCTGACTTCCCCTTGCAGAGAGGAGCTCTGCTGCCTGACCCTTGATCGCTCGGTCCCTTGAACATTGGAAACAAAGCGATGGGACTTTACTGCGGGGTGAGGAGATCTCTCCGGAGAGCTGGGAAAGGCAGGAAGGAGGAGGGCGGCAGCAGCAGTGCTGGGGTTCAGGGTTTGGCTCTGGGCTGGCTGCTTGGGGCGCCACTGGCACTTCCATCTCTGCCACGAGTGGTGTGGAACTGGGGAAAAGGCAGCAGGTCCTGAGACAGGCACTGGTAATGGATTGCATTCTGTTTTCTAATGAAAGTTTCATTTGAAGTTTGTTTACAGGAAAGAAGAAATTAGCAGAGGGAATTCTCCTGAGAACCCAGAGAGGAAAAAGAATGAGCTGCCTGACTTGCAAGCCAAAAGAGGGTGGAAGGGTAGATTACATTTACCGTATTGCTCCGAGTCGTGGCTGTTGTTGCTGCTGTTGAGAAATGCTTCCTTGTTTGGCTGGATGGGGAGCCCACTGCAAGGCTCAGCCTTCAGCCAGGTTACTGGCATCCAGGGAGATTCAGAGCTCCCACCTAGCCAGAAATTTTGATCTTGCTCTGGTGTTCTGTGCTTTGAGGCTGGATTTGTGCTGAGCTGTGCTGCTGTCCCTCTGCTCCTGGCTGTGGCTGGGCAGACGGTGCTGCTGGGGCCTCCTGTCCCTGGGATTGTCCCTGGTGTGAGGAGGCAGTGCCAGCAGTTCATGGGCAGCACTTGGAGGTCACAGTGTTCAGCCTTTGGTCTCTGAGGGGTGTGCTGAGGCAGGAGTTTTCTGGTGGCCTCTGGTGTCCCTACAAGCAGTGAGGAATGCAGCCAAGGGCAAGTGCAGGATGCCAGAGCGGGAGTGATGGGGACGGCCAGAGCCACTCTTGAGGCTGGGGCTTTTCTCTTTCTTTACCAAAGAGGCACAAAGGTGTGAGGAGTTCCTGGGGCACTGTGGTGTGGGCAGAGCCAGGTGGTTGCCCAGACTCAGCGGGCAGTGGATGCTCTCTCCACAGTTCCCACTGCCAGGAAGGGTTCTCCTGCTGCCACCTGCACGTTTGGCTTTGCATTCTGTTGGGGTGGGCTGTGCAGTGGGAGCTCTGAGATGCTGGGAAGTTCATGCCATTGGCCTTTTGGCCAAGGGTATTAGTGCTGGAAAGCAGAAAGCTCGGGCTGGAAAGCAGGGGGTGACTTTCTGCTGGTGGCTGAATCCTGGATGGTGGACGTGTGACAGCCTTGTTTAACTTGAGTCATTTATAGCTTATCAGTTTCTGGTTTGATAGCCTGAGTATTTCTAATAATAGGCGAATGTTATTGCACCTCAAGAGAATTGTACACATTTATAAAGCACTTTCTATTGCATGTGCATGTGAGGCATCCTTCGTGTCACTGCTTCTCCCCCATGCTTGAGTGCGTGGAGAAGGTGATGCCTCCTGAGTTGTGGTTTGGGTACTGAGGCTCAATGTCCTCTGCACCTGAGCCTGAACAACCTGAAAACATTGTGGGTCACTCCTTGGGCTCCTCCTCCCCACCGGACAGGTGAGAGACTGTGGGCAGCAAGGACCTTGGCATTTGCATTTGTCTCTTAAGCCTGACAGTAATCTTGAGTAAGCCTTGTGAAGAAGGCCAGATATTAGGGTGGCTACTTCCCTGCAAATGCTTACAATGAAGAGACTATTTATAGTTTGCAACAGGGAGACCTTTGCAGTTCTGTTCCTGTACGTACAAGATGGAGTTTCTGGAGAGGCAGGATTGCTTTGTGGCTGGTGTGGCAGTGGAGCTGTGCTGAGCCAGGGACAATGTGCCTGGCCCTACCTTCTGCTCTCCTGCTCAGCTCCACCTGGGCACAGGGGGGCTGCTCAGGGACACCTGGTGGGTCTGGGGTCAGGGTGTCCCCGTGGGGGGCATGCATGGGGCTGCCGAGCCCTGTCCGTCTGTCCATCAGTCCATCCCTTGGTGCGTGCAGGGTTTCACAAGCCGTAAATTCCAGGAAACTCCCCGGGAGGCACATGGAGGGAGCGGGCTGGGGCCAGCACGAGCCCTGAGCCAGCAGATGTGTCTGCAGGGACGAGGAGCTGGGAGGAAAAGCACAAACCTGTCTTTAAAGACATTTGTTTGTTCACAATAAAAACTATCAGCCAGCGGCAGCCAGACAGGGCCGTTTTTATGAGGAGCAGGCGTAGGTTGGAGGGGTGCTGCCAATTACTGCTTACACGGAAAGGGAGCGGGGATTGTATTTTATCTCAGGACCAGGGGGAGGGTAAAAAAAACAAGAGCAGAGAGGTTTACAAGCCTTTGAAATGTTTCAATCAAAGGAAAGCAGAGTTGAAAGCGGTTCTGGAAACATTTTCGGTGTTCCCCTGCACCCCAGGGCTGTCTGTGCCCCTGGCTTTGGGAGGGGAGCAGGGAGAGGAAGGCAGATAAAGGGATCACCAGCATGACCGTGTCCATACGGGAGCACGTATCTGCTTCCTCCCAAGCTTTGCATTGGGAGAGTTCAGCCTGGGGAGGTCCCACAGCCCCTCCTCTCATTCAGGATCTCAGTGCTGCCTTTATGATGATGGTTTTGAAATCCTGTGGCTGACCTTTCCGGCACTGGAAGCGATCCAAGGGCTGTGTCTCGAAGTACTGTAAAGGTTAGTGAGAAGGGAGAGAGGGAGAGAGAAAATGTCCTTTGAGCTGCAGAAGTGGGAGAGAGGAATGTCATCTATGCCATCGTCAGGGAACAGGCAGCTGGCTGGGGTCCCTGGCCTGAGCTGGGGTGTCCTTGTCTCACTGGGGACCTCACTCCCCCAGCTCCTTCCCAAGGTGTGTGCTGTCATTTTTGATCTGGGCACAGAGGCAATATCCCTCTGGAGAGGTCTGGAGGAGCCTCCTCTGCAGCATCAGGCAGTGCAGATCTTTGGGGATCCATACCTGTGTGCAGATATGCCCCACAAGCTGCTCCTGCTGCTGCCAGTGCTCTGGTGATTCCTCGTGTAGCAGATGATTTGATCTCAGAAAAGTCCAAGTTGTTTTATGGAGCCATTTCTTGCCTGTCCTCAGCTCCCCCACGCCGCCGCCTTGCCAGGAGCACACTGGGGTGGATGGAGATTAAAGGGTAAACTCCAGGGCTCAGCCATCCGCTCCTACAGGATGTGAGCTCTTTCTAATTGTCCTCAATTAGAGACAGTGCCATTGCTCAGGCAAGTCTTCAGGCAGGAAGCAGAGCCCTGGTCCCCGCTGGGGTAGCCACCTCGCCCTGCACAGGGAAGGGCTGCTTGCTGTGGCCTTGGGAAGCCCAAGGGGCCAGCACGGCTTCTCAGGGCGGGGAACAGGAGCTGCCTACCCAATTGTTTTTAGGAAAGGAGTGTGGTGAGGAGATGTTAAAGCCAGAGAAAGGAGGAAAGGAAATAGCTCCATGAGTTAACCCTTTCCTGTTGCCTCCAGGATGAGACGTCGGTGAGCAGCGAGGACTTTGATATGAACGACTCCACATGGATCTCAGCTGACCAGCACCTGAACTCCAGCCTGAGCCCCAGCCAGGACGAGAGCATGCGCAGCCCGCAGAACCTGCACGGCCACGAGGACGGTGAGTCCCCCGGCGGGCGGGAAGAGCCCCAGCCTCTGCCACAGGATGTTTTTGTGACTGATTAAACATTAACCAGTCCTTTCTGATCAGGTGTCCCCACCTGTGGGATGGATTTCATATCAGCTCAGAGCTGGCTTCCAGTCCTTCCAATTTAGCCTCTGGGCTCCTGCTCAGCCAGGGCCCTGTCCAGCTCGTAGCTGATGGTCCTTCTGCCTGGGCTGTCTCCCAGCTCCTCCAGAAAAAGGCCACTAAATCCCCTTCTAAGGGGAGGACTTCGTTCCCCACATCCTCTTCCCAGGTGATGAGGAGAGCGCTGTTAGTTCTGAACACAGGGAGGATGCCACGGCTTTGCAGAACAGTCACAGGTTTCTGCGTTTGGAAAGCTGCACCTTTGACAGGTCTTGCATCCCCAGGCAAGAAATTGTGAATAATCTGCAGCAGCCACAGCGATGCTGAGCAGGGTGAACGTGGGTGTCTCCTCCCTCGGGGAGGGCGGCTGAAAGGGCTGAAAGCAGCACACGTGGGCTGGGTGGGAGGAAGAGTTTTGTGAAGAGAGGTGGTGTGTTGCGTCTGTGAAACACGCAAGCTTAAAATACAAGAGCAAGTAAATAAGTGGTAAAAGTACAAGTTCAGGTCAGAGTTCATCACTGTGATGCTTGGGAGGATTTGGTGGTTGGACTGTTACTGGCTTTTTCTCAGGAGGTTGAATCCCTCATTGTCCCAGCCTGGCTGCTGATGGGGGTGCAGGGAGGAGCAGAGGAATCTGAGGAACAACTGAGACTGGGTTGGTCCTGCTTTAAGAAAGGGGACTGGAAAACCACTCCCAAAGGAAGAAAAGGCTTTTGTGCTGGCAGGTCTCCCTGGAGTGGCTTTTAGCTGGTGGTGTAGCCAGTGGCAGGGATGGTAGAGACAGAAGGGGCAACAGGGACACTGCTCTCTTCAATCCTAGGGACAGCAAGGCCACTGCTCTCTTCAATCCAGTGAGTTGTGGCACTTCAGTTTCCATTGCAAATCTTCACTTTTGGGAAACTGCTGGTTTTCCCTAGCCAACCCCAGCCCCAGAGCCAGGCAGCCTTGGTGAGGATGTGAAACCTGACTGCACAGCACTGCATCCCAGAGGTGGGACGGGCACTTCTGCTTGCCCAGGGCCCCAGGGGGCTGTGTCTTGGCAGGAAGAAGAGTGTTTTGGTGGTGACACAGTTGCTCCCATAGAAGCTTTTGGCTCTTCAGGACTAGGCTGCAGCCTCCACCCCAACAAGCCCAGCCTCTGATCCCTGCAGCCTGACCAGGTCTCTCTGTACCCCCTGAACTTTGCCATTCTCCCACTGGGACATTTCAGGCTTGTGACTTAGCCCTCACCACTGAATTCCCAAGTCTCATTTACAATCTAGAATGACACAGTTTTGATCCCTTTGCTGAACACTATTATTCAACAGGACAGTAATTTAATAAGGGACTCACGTATTTAGGCAAATCAAGATGTTCTCACTAAATCGAAATCCTCTCTCTCTCTGCGCCCTCTTAGGAATTGCTTCCAATTTTTCATGCCCTGTGGTTTTCCTTCAGAAGCAGGTGTCCTCTTTGGGGCTCTTCTTGGCTCCTTTAATTTCTTTCGTAAGGTTCAGTGATGAGAAATAAAGCAGAAATAGTCCCATAGGAATGCAAGTGTCCCTGGTGTCAGCATCAGCTGAACTGGGTAGACTTTGGTGGATCAGAAGCAATGGTGTCAAAAGAATAAGCAAGCCAAGCCTAGGGTGACAAATGAGACCCATACAAAAAAAACCCAGGAATTGCAATATTCACCAGGCTGTCACACTTCAGAAGCATTTTGTGGACTGAGGTTTTGTGCCTATGGGAATGTCCATGATCTGAATCAGAGCTCTAAATGCAGACTGATGCTGCCTCATGCCAGTCTCTCTGCCAAACCGATGCTCCCACCCAGGAATGGAGCACACACAAGAGTGAGGACGGAAGGAGGACAATGGAGTAACCCAGGAGGGCAGTGGGTGGTTAAAGGAGAGGAGCATGGAGCAGAGGAGCATGTTGTGAGAGGAAAAGCAGATTACTGCTGAGGGGAAGGGAACGTGCACAATCAAAGTCTTGACCACTCTTTAGTTTCCTCTTCTCTCAACCAATGAAAGCTCTTTTTTTTTTTGGAAACAGATGTGTTTTCCGGGCTCACACGAGCTTGCTAAGGCTGTGCAAAAAGTGTGAGTAACCAGCCCACATAAGCTGTGGAGCCTCCTTGGAGCCAAGCTGGCCAAGCTGCCAAAGCAGAGTGCCTGCACTGGGGCAGCCCAGCTACTCCCAAGCTGGAAGTTTGCCCACATCTCCTGTGCTCAGTTGTCCCCTGTGCCCTGAGGAGTCCTGCAGAGCTCCAGCCAGTGCTAAAGTGATCCCCACACATCCCCTGCAGCCAGGCTGGGCTCAGCTCCGGGCATCCTGGAGCTGCAGAGGGATCTGGTTGCACACCACGTCCTTCAGTTGGGAGCTTGTTCAGGACTGGATACTCTCTGCCTTCAGGAAAACCTTCTGAGTTACTAAATTGGTCCTGCCTGCTGCTGTTTGACGGGTGTGATGCTTGGAGTGTGTCTGCAGTGAAAGGCTTGCTAAAGTATAAAGTTTTAATGAAGAGTTGCCTAGTAGGAGAGCAGTATCGTCTGACACGCTTGTTAAAAAGTCCTGTTTAAAGGACCAAAGCACCAGCTCCATGTCTTTTCAAGGCCTGGGAGTGGCAAGTGCTCTTCTGTGGCATAGAGTAGAGCTGTTTGAAATCCAGAGAGGCAGGAGAGCAGGGAATTGTCATCCCATGCTTTAATAAACAGGTACCTGCTAAATCATCAGAGGCCTAAAAAGCAGCTGGGACAAAAGCCAACACCTTCATTGTCTTGGGTGCCCAGAAGCCTTGGCCCAGTACAGCCATGCTACAGCTGGAGTCAGCCCTGGAACTGCAGGGAGAGCAAAATACACCTAAAGACTTGGGAGGGCTGTGGACAGAGCAGGCACTGTCAGGGGAGCCGGGGTCCCTGCTGGGTCAGTGGGCACATGGTGGGACTTAGGACTGAGCAGGGACACTGAACACACACACACACACTCGCTCCTTCCATTTTCCTTTGTTACTCATCCTGCGGGCCCCAGCACGGAAAACATGAAGCTCCCAGCAACATCCCTTCCCAGTCGGATGTTGCTCACAGCGTACATGCCCGCAGGAAGCCGAGGGCTGCCCAGAGCAACAGCAACATCCACACAAACTCTGCTGCTGGAGCGGAGCTATTGTGCTGGACATCCTGGAGGGACACATCTGCGGGGGCCAGCACACGCTGGGAGCAAAGGGACCTGAATGCTGCACCATCCTGCTGTCTGAGCCCACCTCCATTCCTGAAGGCATCCCATGCCCAGTCCCAGCTGAGCGCAGGTCCCAGGCCCTGGTGCTGTGTTGCTGTGGCAGTTTGAGCTGGGCTCTGTCCATCTTCAGAGCCTCTCTGCTTCCACAGGCAAGCACTGCACTAGAAACCTCTCATTTCAGTCTGGTGTGAGGGGTTGAGTGGGGTATCCCACCACAGGGGTGCTGGGTATTCCACCCCAGGCCTGCTGTGACTTTCTGCCAAGTGCAATGCCCTTGAAAGTAAAGCAGGAGTCAGATCCCAAACCTCAGTGTGTGACATGGAAAAGTGCTTGAACTCATATAGAAGAGCCTCTGTCTTGCCCAGTGACAGGATCCACCTTGCCTTGTCCCTGTACATCCTGCTGCACTGCCCAGGAGCAGTGCTCAGCCCATAGGCAGGGCTTCCTGCTCCCCAGCCTCTTTTGAAGAGCAGGGAAACCTCCTGGGTGTATGGTGTGCTTACTCTGTGTGGGGAACATGGAGTTGCTTCATGGCACCATGTTGGACTGATCCCCTTGTGCTGAGATCCCCACGTGCCGTCCTCACTTGACTGGCAGGGTCCCCGCTGAGTCTGTTCTGCCCGGAGCAGCAGTGGCTAATCCAGACCTTGGAGAAAGGACTTTCTTAACCTACTTAACTGTGAAGGCACACGCTTCTTGGGGGCATCCCTTGAGGCAGCTGGCTGTGGAGGCTTCTGAGTGTTGGGGACATTCCTCAGGAGTGCTGCAAGGAGGGACCTCAAGGACACGTGGGCAAGCATTATTTCCAGATTCTGTCCCAGGGGCTGGTAAGGTGTGTCACTCCCCAGGACGCCTTGCCCTGGGATGTCAGGGATGGCACAGAGCTGTCCCCAGCACAGCAGTCTCTCTGCTGGTATGGCACAGCTCTGGGTCACACTGCTGGTGCTTGATGAGATGCCCATGATGTGCTGCACATCACCAGCTCCCCTGAACCACCAGTCTAGTAGAGCTTTCTGGGGAGGAGCAGCCTCTTGCCAAGTGCTGACCAAAAGCCATGTTCCATCCCCAAGTGATGTCCAACTCCACTTCTGACAGCTGGCACCCAACTGTGGGGCAGTGGTGCCCACCTCCCTGTGCCCTCAGAGGGTCACTGCTGCAGCACTGGGTGTCACACAGCTCCCAGGCAGCCTAGACCTGCTCCAGGTGAATACAAACACCCTTTGTAAGCCACAGGAAGAGCCCAGCAGACCATGGGCAATTGTCTGATGGCTGGCTAGTACAGGAGGTGGCCTGTGAGCCCCAAGACACTTGCTTAGCCCAAGCTGCAAAATCCTTACTCTTTCCAGGGCTTCTTGTGCCAGTGTTGAATTTTGGCCCTCTAAAGCCTTAGCTTTAAACAAGACTAGCACCAATAGCCAGGCCTTACTACAGCTGGACACAACCTTATCTCATTTTCATTAGGGATATATTTCCTCTTTCTCCAGGGTGTCCCCATGCTGTGTTGGCTCCACAGGAGTCAACAGATGTGTACCTGCCTTGCCTGAGTGGTCTGGGCTGGTGACTCCATTCCCGTCACCTCTTCCAGGGACACATCTGCTCCTCCCGAGCAAAGGCCCTGGCCTGTGATAAACACCCTCCTTTTGGTGTCCTTTGAA